TCAATTCCAAACCACTTAATGGATTTTTCAGCATTACACTAGCAATTATATGGCATACAAATTCCTATTTGTCAAATCTTTCTTTGACACTATTATAAATGCTACAGTAGGATGAAAGATAATGTAATATAAATAAAGTTAGAAAATAGTGTCATTTTTTAATAATGGTTTTCATATCAAAAAGAGTTTGGGGGTTGCTGAATACCACACGACATAAAAGAGAACTGCATTTAATTTGTAAACAGAAAATCATAGTCATATATTTCTAACTCAAAATACTTGGAAACCCATTGAAGTTTTTTCCATTTTAAGGGAAAATGTGTGCAGCTAGCACAGTTCCAGGAGCTGCTGTGCACCAAGGACACCAGCCAAGAGTGTTCCATCATACAGATCCTCTCATTCTTCACACACAACCAAAAGGGCACAAAGGAAACACAAGGGGCATAGTTTAAAAAATAAAATGGTGTTCCTGCAATCATTTCATATCTGATACACTCTCTTGGTCCCTTTCCCTCCTCATAAATCTTTCCAGCCTAAAAACTGCTAGGGCATGTGGCACAGGGCAGTTATGATTCTTTAAGAGGGAGACAGAACACTGGCAGACTCAGCTTGTGTAAACTTCAACTCTGGACACATGTTCTTCACTGTAATTCAGTTTTGCAGTAAAGAGAATCCGAACTTCAGTTTTGCAACAGAGACCACGGCTTGGAAAACAGAAAATGAAAAATGCTGTATGCTTTGCATCAGTGATTTTAAATGTATCTAAAGAGACATTTTTAAGTAATAGTCCTCAATTGTTATTTTAATTTCTGACATCTTGTCTTATTAAAATCTCAACCCTTTTATGAGCATCTGATTTTGGTAGTTTGCAATGAGAATCCAGAAAAAAATAGGTATTACAATCCACATTATCAGAACAGAAAGACTCAGTGTTATGTATCTTCTTACTTGTAGGGAAAAAAAGAATATCAAATTTAACAGAAATGAATGCAATGCATTTCTTGTTTATTCACATTCACCATTACCAAGTTATACCGTCTCTATGTTCAGTAATCTCAGAAATTCATTTCTACTGTGAGGAGATTGCTAATTAAAAATAACAACAAACATTACTTCATTTGAATAGTAAAGATAATTACATACCAAAAGCTCATTATAGACCCTGGAAAGTACAGTTTATTCAGAGAAAACTGTTGAATAAACAGTTGGATGCATTTTGGGAGATCAGAAAAAATGTCCAAGTTACTTAAAAAGTTCTGTTAACTAAAGCAAGTGTCTTTTCATTTCAAATCCTCTTCAGTCCCAAACCAGTTCTCAAAATCTAGAATTTGAAATCTAGAATAAAAATGCAGATTTGACCCCACTCAAGTGAAAACATGAAGGTTTCATACTTCATAAGGTAAAGATGGTATAGTGTGAGTTATCAATTGCTAACCTAAAAAGACATAGTTACATGCACATTCAGGTTCCAGGATTCATTCATACCTTACATTGTTTTTGTCATACAAAGAAATGGTAGCAGTCCTCAAGTGAACCACCTACTTATTCAAATGCCAATTTAGTGCAGAAGACACAGGGCAATATAAGGAAAGCCCTTTGAACTGCTCTAATCTGAGACTGTATAGGCATAAGAAAATAGTCAAATTTAAATATTTTGTACTCTGTTTTTCTTGCTAGATTTATACAGCCGATTTCCATAAACATGGAAACTTAATAACACAAGTAAATGGAATTTGAAAAATGTCACAATGACTTGTGAACTTATACCAATTTTAAAAGAAAGGAAGAAAGTTTGAGTGTTTTCTTGAAAATGTAAAATAAATGTTTGCTTTATTCTTATATCTCGAATGTATTAACTGAAGATATGCTTTCCCAATTCTATAAAACTTAATTATTAGCATTAAAATGAAAATTAAGACCAAAGGACATTAAGTTCAGCCTTTTGACTGCAATTTTACCTACATGGTGAAATGCACCCAAAATGTCTCAACCTCAAAAAAACTAACAGGCCTTGGCATTAATTCAGTTGCAGGATCAGGTCCTGAAGAGCTATGAGAAAGCAGGAGCAATTAATTGCTATACTGTGTATCTTCATATTCAAGCAAATTATAGCTCCGGTTTAAGCCACTGAACCAAAACTATTTTTAATGCTGAGATCTCAACGAGACACTTGGAACCTTTCTGTGTTCTTAAAATGTTCTTATTCAATGCTGTGGATACATTTTTAAAAATTATTCTCTTTTTAATACCTGCAATCCTGGAATAAATCGAGCATCTTTTTCAATTAAAAGGAGTTGTTCAACATCAGCACTGAGAATGGATCTGGTAATTCCTCCTGGCCCAGGGCCCACTTCGCAAACATGGGCATTTTTCAGCTCACCAGCCTGTTTCACTATCTTGTCTGCAAGACACAGAGAACATACTAAGCCTTTATTTTCCAGAAGATCCAACTCACTAAGATAAAGTAATTGTTTATTGTTAAAACACAGGCGTGCTTATCTCAGGACAGACACAAACAGTGACACATGGCAGTTAAATGATCGCACACCCGCTAGGCTGAACAGGATTTCAGATTTCTTTCATACTACGAGATACACTGAACTATTTAAAAAAGACTATTTTTAGTTTAATGTCTTTAGTATATATTGTGCTCATTACAGAATCAAATAAAAAGACACTATTACTCATCTGTAAGCTAGCAGTATTATTGTGCTGCAAACAAGCATTTGTGTTCAACATCTTAAAATATCACTCCTCGTCCTTATAAAATTACATTACTTATGGTATCTCTATTTCAAGGAAATTTAAGTAAGAAAACTAGAGTGAAGCTCTATCAAGATTGTAATATGTACAGAACAATTTTATGAGGGAGGAACTAGACTAAATTAAGAGTTGGAACACATGCAACTGGTAGTTATACAAAGTGTGACAGCTGAAAGGTGAGGAAAGAATACCTATACATAAGTGGAAGGATACAACACTGGAAGGTATGACAGCCAGGAAAGAAGACAGATTAAGGACTAAAACAAAGATTAAAAATATAGGCAATGAAACAAAGGGATCCTGAGTACGCAGGGAAGAGAAGATACTGACAGGAATTATGCTTCTCACTCCACAATTTATTATGTATGCAATAAAAATAAGAAATATCTGAAGACTTGTCTACTTGTAAGGCTTTACTAAAATGCATGCAGACATTTTTATTCTGGGGTAAGAGTTCAGTTTTTCAGGAAGTGGAACTGAGTTTCATGTTCTGAATTTTTATCAGCCTGAATCTTCAAATGTATTTAAATCATTAGCTACATGAAGCTGTACCGAATTTGTTACTGCAAAACCCAGCCACCACTAGGCCAGTAAAGACACCCACCACGGACTGAACAGTGCCAGCTTTGTCCACCACTGCTGACATGAAGCTGGAGAAAACCCAATTGTTCAGAACAATGTAACGGGTTCAAAAGCTACAACACTTCTGATAAACTGAAACAAATTACCTTCCTAAACACAGCATATAGCAAACTAAGCTGCACAGTGAGTTATAGTACTTTCCCTGACACACAATAATCTGAAAAAACACTAATTTTTAAATTAAATTTATAAACTATAATAGCACCCTAATGGTAAAAGGCTTGGATTTTTGCACTTCAGCCAATAACCCATATATTATATAGGAATGTAGTTTCACCTTAAAATTATAACTTATAAATAAACCTATTTTTGAGGCATTAACAAGTAAAAAGAATTTGTCTAAGCTAAAATTCAGCTAAATTTTTCTAAGCTAAACTTTAAAAGAAGTCTTTAAAGGCTTCCCATTGAGCAGCCATTAGTCTGACAGATGTTACTATGCAAATATCTCCTTAACCGTACTGTGGATTCTGAAGAAAACTGGGACATGTGTTATTAGCTAAAAATATTAGAAAAAAGTATTTAACCTGTCAATCGCAAATCCAGTAGAAAGTTCTGGGAAAGTTGTCTCTGTGCTTTAAGGCGATAGAGCTTAATAATCTCTCCAATAGTTGGCAGGGGAGGCAGACGGAAAGCTGCCACCCTTCCTGGGGCAGCCATAAGCCAAAACTCTGGTTTCTTTCTCCTAGAGAGACATTGCAAAAATGATTCTATTATATACAGTAAATTCTGATTAATACTAAAGACGCTAGTTTACAAACCAACACATGATTTACAAATCATGATAGGAGAGCTAAATTCCAAACATCAGTATTTTGACTACTGGATCCAGTGTTTATGCTCGGCATGACTCCGGGGGATTTGGGCAAGACCCGTTTTGCAGCTTTGCCAAAGCAGCAAGTAAAACAAAGCCCCCTCACAACTGCTCCATGTCAACCGTTCATTACTTGAGAAACGACTCGTTACGGATACCGAGTTCCCGGCGTCACACATACACAGGGGACACTCAACCGCCCTGCCCCTCAGCCTGACTCTAACGGGCTCCGTCCCCGCCCACGCGCACCCCGAACCGCACTGCGCGTGCTCCCGGCGGCGGCACCCGCCCGCCTGCGCATGCGCATAAGCCGCCGGCGTTGCTGGGGAAGGCCCAACGCAGCATCGGGGCGGAACGCGGGCCGGGAGCGCCTCGCGCCCGCACGCGCTTTCTCTCCCCCCCCAACCCGTCCCCGGCTCTGGCGGAAAGGGACACTTCGAGCAGCGCCCCAGAAACGCCGCGGCTCCTTACGGTACACGGCGGGCGCCGACCCGGAAGAGGAAGGACCTCTGCGCTGCGCACGCGGCTGCCCCGGCGCGTGACGGGACTCGGCGCGGCGAGGGCGGGGCCGCGCGCGCGTCTCCTGCGGCGCGTGCTCATGCGCGGTGGGCGCCGGAGCTGTGGCGGGGGCGGTGCTCGGGCCGGGCCGGGGCAGGCGGGAACTGTTTGCGGCTCCCAGTAATGAGAGGGCGCCTGTGCCAGCCTGGGCCCTGCTGTGCCCACAGTAAAAACCTTCCAGAAAGCTTTCCCTTTCAGGGAGGAGGCCTCGGAGGGAATCACGGAAACAATTGGGTTGGAAAAGACCTCTGAGATCATCGAGTCCAACCTTATGACGGAAGCACCTTGTCAAACAGAAAATCCGTCTTTCCTTAAAACACTTCCAGGGGCAGTGACTCCATCACCTTCTTAGGCAGTCCATTTTAATGTGTAATCACTCTTTCTGTGAAGGAATCATTCCTAATGTCTGACTTGAACCTCCCCTGGCACAGCTGAAGACTATGACTTAAGGCTGATGGAAGGCCCCATTGAAACCTTAGGCCCTGCTGGCAGGGATAGACACCAAATAGCACTGTCTCCGTGTGTGCCAGTGTGATACCACAACAAAGGTGATTCTAGGCAATAAAAAACCAAATACTGTTTTCTCTCATTACTGTGCATTAGAATGTAGTTTATCCATTTCTGTGGCAGAGAGGTTTGTCTGACACTCTAGCGTACAGGTAACCTTTCACCTGCAGGCTCCAGGAGCAGGCATAAGGGTATGGAAAGGATGCTTTCCAAAAACCATGGAAGTCGAATGGAAATTCAGGTTCACATTTACAGATTGGTCTGTAATTTAATTGGTCTTCTGTATTTACAATGGAGCTTTATTTTGTTTTAGTTTGGTTTTTTAATCTGAGTGAACCAATATTTAGGCTATTTTTCAGCTAGTCTGAATACTGCACAACTGTCTGCTCATTTCCATGCATCGAGATTAATTCTAGAGTGTGATCAGAACCTGTAGTTCATTTGCTTCTATGTTTTTGTATATCTGAAGTTTACAATTGGAGTCATACAATACACATCTTAATCAGAGTAGAAAATTAGCAGTGTTCTTAAGAGTAATAAATTATATAATTGAGCAATTGCATGTTGCAGCAGAATTTTAGCTACAATATACTGTGCCAACACAGAGGTGCATGTACTTATATGTATGTGCATGTATATCTATATCTGTGGATATATTCTTAAGACATTTTCCAGTTTTGTTCATCCTGAAATACACTGGTAGCAGCAAAAGCCGTTTTGGCAGAGTATTTCTGCAATATCTTTTGTCACAGTGGATTAAGGAAGTTCCCTTCTGAACAGCACTTTTAAACAAGTATTGGATTTTGAAGTTCTTTTTCATTTTGCCTGTATCATTCCATGCTATTATGACAATGCAACTGAATGCTAAGATATTTCCAGAAAGCTAGAATGTTACTAAAGAGACAGAAATAAAAAAAGATATTGTTAGGTAGATATAAAGAAATAAACACATTAAAGGATTTGCAAAACGTAATTTCTCAGTCAGGAGAAATAATGGATGTAATTCTAAAGAGCTTTCTGCATTAGACAAAGCTTCTGCCATCAATAGACCGTTCTAGTTAAATAATAACAGCAGATGCTGCAATGTATGTTAGTGTTGTCCCTGGAAGAAGTAAGTGTAAGGGGGCTGATACACAATATCCACATCAATATTTCTTTATAGATGCAGGTTCAGTCGTGTTCTGAGATCAATCAAGTTTCTTGCAGTTGAAACCTATGCACGGAAGATAAATATTATGTGTGCGAACACCAGGGAGCAGGCGGAGTAAATAGGAATATAGTGAGAAGGGGCCACATTTACAAAAAAATGAAAATGGACCTAATTACACAGTCATTAAAAATACAGAGAACTTTGCAATTGATATCAGCAAGAAAAGGATTTGGCCTAGGGTTTATCGTTTGCATACAGTGGAATATTGGGATAAAATCTTATGGTCCTAGTCTTATCTGAAACACTGGAGTTTTGAGTTTGTGAGATATAAAGTATTGGGTTCAATATATATTTTTTGAGTGTAAAGTCATTATAAATTAAATATAAAATGTAAGCTCCACCTGTCGGTGAAAGTGTGGGACTTCAAGTGATATTTTTTACTAGCCCAAAGATAGTAGCTCAATTCCAAAAGGGTTTTGCAAGAAATTAATATAAGGATGATTTTTTTTCTACTTAAAATCTGAAGACATTTGAAGGAATATGGGCTGTGTCTCAGGAGGAACAAGTAGGAAAATGACATGGGATCAATCAGCTTTATGACCAGCTGAGACATTCAGGCTATTTTAACTCTCAGGCAAAAAAAGATACCAATTTAAAAGTTTTTCCCTACTTAAAAAATGTCATGTCAGAGCATTGTTTTAATAATGCATTTCATACTTGATTATCACCAAAGCTGAGCTTTTTAATCTCACAACCTCAAATCTACTCAGTATAGAGTATACTTTCTATACAAATATTGTTCTGTCATGGTTAAAGTACACACTTTTTCTTGATTAGATGCACATGCCTAAGTTTGCAGGTGTTTCATGTGGCTGTGACTCTTACTGTAATAATAACAAGCTATAATAGATTTATACTGAAATACTTGAATGTAATACAGTAATCTGTGCTAATAGGTCTACTCGTAGAAAATATTTGATAGAAAAATCGCTTGCTAAAATTGCTTCCACTTTATTGCTAAAATGTTTTCAGACTCCTAAAGTTGCTTTGAGGGTAGTAGTGTATGGGTTTGAGAGTGAAGATGGCCCCCCAAAACTCACAAAGAAAAAGTGTATGAGTAAAGTCTTAACTCATTGCATTAACTGGTCATTTCTAGAAGATGTCTTCAACTAAGTCTTGCATATTATGCAAGAGGAAAAGTGAGCCTTCCTCGCTTTTTTCTGTTCGTTCTAATTATTCCAGCCCTTTCATGCCTTTGCAAGTTAGGTAGTGTCTGCAGAAAGAGCACTTCCTTCTTATGATCCTAACAAAGTTCACAGAAAAGATGTGAGAGAAAGAAGCTGGAAGGAATTTTTCCATTCCTGTGAATGCCTGACACCCACCCTGTGACTCTTTCAGTCTCTTTCTCTCTTGATGTGTTAGTGTTGCCCCTTCCAGGTATTTCTGATTACTTACCACAAAGGTACTTGTGTAACAACAACAAAGGGTTATGAGCACCACAGTCAGGAGAGTCCTTAAATATGTAGAAAGAGGCTGCAATATGAAGAGCACTACCATAAACAGCAATAGTAAAACTTCCATGACCTCTCAAGTTAGACTTTGGGCAATTACATTTTCATACTGGAGCTCAGCCCAAGAATCTATTAAAGACATTCTTAATCTATTTTCTTTCATTCCTCTGAGGTGAGAGGAGTGACAAAATCATAAACAAAATAATACAGAATTTTGGAATCCTGGAGAAATACTTTGTTTTGAGAATAGCAGCGATCCACCATCTGACTTATTTCATTATTCAGTTATGTCTTGACCTTACAGACAGAGCCTGCTAATTTTGAAGACAATGAAACATTCAGCATATATTCCACATATCAGGTAGATGCCAGGGAAAGATAAACTGGGCATCTGAAGAAGCGCAGGGTCAGGTTCTGAGATCATTGTGCAGAGACACCATTATGGGATTTCTTACTGTTCTTTTCTTGACTACAGCTTTGGTTCAGGTTCACCTGCCAGCTTTGCAAGGGTTGAAACCAAAGTTATGTCCTTAATGATAACAAAGCATGTTCACCAGTGGGAAATTATAGACTTGCTGAGCTCATTAATGGATACTAATTCTTTTCTGGTTCTATGTTCAGGTTTTTACAACTTAAAAGTAGCTCCCTCTAAGAGCAAGTACAGTATTACTGATCTAAAATGATTTTTGTTGCTTGGGAGTATTGTAACTAGTTTTATGTTACAGCATCATGTTGTAGAAAACAGGATTCACACCATGCTTTTGAAATGCCATACTCTACTCAATTCTGACACAGAAAAATCTGTTTGACAATTATTTTCATCAAATTAAGGTAAATAAGATGACAAGTTGTAAATGTCCAGATTGCATTGTAAAATGATAAGGAAATTTAACACCTAAAAGAGGTTAGATGCAGAAAATCTTGTATTTTCCACATGCTGGAAAACAACATCTAATACCACAAGGCCTCTATTCTTCAGCTTGCTCTCAAAGACATTGTTTTCTATTGTTTGTTAAAATAAGATGTTTATTATTTCTATAACACTACCTCATAAGGATCCTAAATAGATGTTAGGATCCCATCGCACCAGGCACTGTACAAACAACACAGTGACTGCCCTCCCTCAAGAAAACTTCTGTGACCAAATAAAATGCTGAAGAAAATAAATTAGCAAATGGGAAGAAGTTTAGGTAATATAACAGCAGAGAGATGTACATTTGCATAGTCACAGTAATTTTAGAAAGCACTGCAAAAAAGTGCAAAACTGTTATGAAACCTCTTCAATATTAACTCTGTAAAGGATCTGTAAGATGTTTTCTTTCTCTTTGATGATGTAGACAATGCATTTTAGTCCCTGTTTTGAAATAAATGTTCTGCTCACTGCAATGTTTACACTGAATGTGAAATAAACCTGACTATTACTACAGCCATTTCTTCCCATAGAGCCAAACAATCCAGCTATGGGGGAAATCTTCCTACTTTTGTCAGTCTACCACTAGGGATCCATCAGGCCACATTTGGATCAAGAGCAGTAGTTTTCTTGTTACCAATTCAATAATGTCATGTAGCAAAAACTAAACACTCAAAGAACAAAGACTGCATTATCAAAAAATCTGGCAGAAATTTCTGACTAGACTGCTGAGGTCTTTACTAACATATCTCAGGAAGTACAAAGATCCATGACTTTCAGTATTGCCATAGCAGATGCCTAAAAATCATTATATTTGTTTTAAAACATTAGAATTTCTTTTAATGCTCAAATCTTCTGATGTGCCTTTTTATTTGTGAGCCCCTTAATCAACTCAAGTCACATTGTAAAGCTCTAGCTGTAGCCATCCACACTAGTTAGTTTATTTTTAGTTAATAGTTTTGACTTTCACTTGATCATCCTATTTTAGGTGTTAGACCATTTAGAAGAAATACCAGTTAATGCAAATTTTGGGTTAAAATTTGAGGAATGCCAGGAATGAGGAGAATCAAGACTACTCTCACTTACACTGCCTGCTGGCCTCTGTAGAAATGAGGATTTTCACACTGCAAGTAGGGTCTAAAAACGAAAATCCAGACATAGCTCTGCAAGCAGCTGTACTATTATCACCCATTTATCATTGGGAATTTTAGACCATTTTGAAAGATTGGTTTTATAGTGAGCTTGGTCTTGCTCACCCAACAACACCCAAGTCTCCATATTGGAGAATGTTCCCTTGAGAGTTTGTGTCTTTGGCTTTCTGATGGAAGGTTTTCAGAACTGATGTTCCAGTTTTAAGCATTAAGTATTCCCAAGTTAAAGAAAGAAACGGAGAGTAAAAGCTTTCTCACTTGCAACAGCACCCACAAAGAAATTCATTAAAAGTACAACATACTGCATAACTGAAATGCAGACTTTTGTACTCTGATTGTGTTATCATGAAAAATGAATACAGAATTACTTAAGTCTCTGAGAAGCACGAGATGTGTTCTGTCACACAGGTAACGGTGTTCATTGCCACACCATGTCACCATCTATGCCTCCATTCCAATAATTTGAACTGGTAAAACCCACCCGTGGGCTGGGAGCGTTACAGAGCCCTCTCCATGAGGGGAGATCACAAAGCAGGCTCTGTCCCTGGGTTTTCCTTTCCTGCTGCCGCATTTTTTGGCAGGGCAGTTTAAAAATATATGTTTACCTCATCAGGTCTTCTGGACAACGTGTTAGAGTTAGATGAGGTCCTTGAACTCCTCTTCTTCCATGTTTGTCCATTGCTATCTGATACCTCAGAAATAAGCAATACCCTTTATAAATGCCTAACGCCTGTGGTGGATTCTCTATGCTCTCAGAAAACGTGACACTCAAAAAGAGTACAGAGAGAAAACCTTTTAGCTTCAGCTCTCTAGTTTCTGTCTTTCAAGTCCAGAGGTGGGAATGGGGTCTGGGAGCTTGAGCATGAAAGGATTTCTGTCTTCAAAAAAAGGGATTTATAAAATGCAGAAAGCAGAAACTTCAGGACATGAATTTTGAACCAAGCTTTCTGGCCACTGGGTGCCACTCTTGTTCCACGACAAGTGAACTACCATATCTTTAGCAAGGACCAAAAAGTTTACTGACTCCACTGGATGTCCTTATGTCGAATCAGGCTGCCAGAATATGAATGCTGTATAGTCCGCCTAGCAGAAATAAAAAGCAGAAGGTTAATGCTAGATGCTTGCAGTAAACAAGAAAGGAAGATTCAGCAAACAAAATCCAAGCAGTAAAACCTGGAGATTCGGGTTTGCTGAATATACCACATGAAAGGGTAGGTTGATAATCATGGTTGCTCTGCTTTTTGGGAGCTCCTAAGAAGGTGATATCAAAATTTGTATTTTCTGTTTGAACCATGACATATTTCTATCATTAGGGTGCCGTAACTGCCACAGCATTCTGACTGTGCATTTCTAAGGGGACAAACAACCACCACTGCTGTAGTATTGAGTGTGGGAAAGTAAAGCTAACTGGAATAATTTCTCTGTCCAGACTAAGAGAAGTGTTAAAGACAAATCAAAAATCATCACTAAGAGATAGCTCCCCTAATCAACAGTGTGAGTTTTTCTAAATATATTGTTCTGAGACTTTACCTGGCATAAAATGCTGCAGTTCTGTTAAAGCTGTGCTGACTGTGCTGATTTCTAAAAGGTGGGAATGCTTTTTAATTCTTTTATGTCTTTTTAGTTTGATTTGATTTTAAACCAACATATTCTAACATCTTAGAAAATGCAACATTGACCTGCTCATTCCAGATACATTCTGTCGTACTGTGATCTGAAAATGGAGGTGGATGGGGGAAAGACTGATTTCTTTCTGACTCTTCACTTGCAAAATTCTCGTTTGAAGTTAATTCGGAATCATGCCTCTGCTTGGACCGCTAATGAATGTGCCTGTCTAACCCTCTGTATTAAATAGATACTATTCGATGTTGTATTCAAAGCTTATAATGGATTTTTTTAATTGTAGTTACACCCAGAGGCCCCCAGCAGAATTCTAGCATGTCAGAAATTGTACTAGCACAGCAGAAGATATGACCTCTGTCAGGAAAACCTTGCCATATGAGTTGAAAAGAATAGGTAAAAGCAGATGCTGACAGATTAAGAGAATAAGGAGGCACTGAGTTAGTAGTGGTAAGCATAACAAGCTGTGGTCTCAGCAAGGCAGCGTTTTTCCCACAGAATCACAAAGAGTACTCTAAAGAGTACAGTGGGGGAACATTGCAGATGTTTACGGGAAAGGCGGAGGGGAAAAAACATCAAGGTGCTTCTTTGAAACACGAGCTGCTCTCATGAACCATGGCCTCTTGACAATAAGTTTCCAGGAAGCAGGCTCAGAAACCTTGTATAGAGGCAAGTGAATGTGAGAGTATGTGACATATGTTACAATATAAAAGGTGAAGAAGTGGAAGATATAAAGAGAGGAGGGATCAGGCCAAAGCAAAAGGTAGGTAGATACGTGATGAAGGATGGATATGACAGGTGGGACAAGGAAGCATTTATAAAGGCTGGAGAGAGGGTTGTTTCATTATCCAAGATAATAAGAGTTGAGAATTGGATGAGATTTTTAACTACATTAAGAAGTTACTTACAGGTGTTGTGCAGAAAAGATCTACAAGACAAATGTTGAGAATGTGTAGCAGGAATGAGGCCCAATTAGAGATCCAAGATGATAATGATAATCTGATTATATGAGTAGTTGTGAGCACAGTGATAATATTATTGGCAGTGAACAGAAAAATCCCGCGCTGGGAATGCGCAGGAAGAACATTTTAAGGTTTTTGTCCAGACCATGCCACCCCAGGCTTCATTCTGGGCACAGAGTTACACACAGGAAGTTTTACATCTTGCTCCCCACTCTGCTAAGAGTGAAGTGAGACTGGGATTAGAAAGCACTTGTGAAAGACTCCATATACTTGATAGCAGAAAGAATTTAGGAAAATATTTGAAGGACAGGAGGAGTCTGCTAGAATTGAAGCTGTAAAAGAGGAGGATATGAAAGCTTGGATCTGGCTATGATCTAGGATAGCTGAGTATTAGAGAAGATCCAGCCAAGACTGAAGGTTTATTGTTCTAAGTACCTTGGAAGCTTTGTTTCTGTGTCAAATAAAAGGCCTTAAATGGGAATTAAAATCAGCAGGAATCCAAGCATGGCTTTACCTGGGTAAGTAGCTCACTGACTTGTAGAGTCACAGTAGTGCACAAGAGATCATAATAAGACTGGAAATAGGACATTGGGAGACTTTGGGTGAAGAGAAGTGGCTTATATTTGATGTGAGAGAAATGGAGACTTCCTTTGATTAAACCCACAGTAACTAGGCTGCACAGGGTCTAAATACCTTTTTAGATACTACTGAAGCCTGCAGTCAATTATGTGACACTGCTGGAGAAAAAGTCCTTAGAGACTTGAGGAGATTTCTGTGCAAAGACTCAGTTTGCAAGATCGTATATCAAGATGTATGTCTGGATATCCATAGTATCAAAGTACCTCATCCACAAGTTCCACCTAGTCCTAGCAGCAGGACATGGAACACATACAGCGGATATAGGAACTAGAAAGGCAGTTAATGTAACTCTTGGTTTTCAGGAATAACAGAGCTTGCCAATATCCCTTCATTAACTCAAGGTTGTTTTTTCAATGGCTATTCTCCAAGTCTCTTGCATTTTATCAGTTCAAAGCATCAGAGTGGGTCGAATTGGTTTTCGGTACCCTTCTAGTAATCAATACAAAAGGCAGATACTACAAGCTGGTACTTTTCAGAGATCTTAAATGAACTATATTCTGCAAGTATTTCTTGGTTGTCTTTGATAACCCCCTCACAAAGTGTTCTCTTACACTTACGTAGTGATTTCATATTGTTAGAAAGGCACTCAGCTGACCTGATTATAAACACATCTGACAACATCTTAACCAGTCATGTAGCTTCCTCTTTGAGATCTATGGTAGGTTTTCTCTGAGAAGTCGTGTAGATCCTCTGCCAAGACCCATATTTGAATTGCTAAGGTTAGTTTCAGCAGTGCAACCTTGAATTTAACAAATCTTCCTTGTTTTCCAAAATTGCAGCAGAGTATCATAACCCCGTTTCCCCACCAAACAAATGACATTTTCAGCTTCTACAGTGACTTTGGTATCTCAAATGAGACATGACAGTTACTGACACTTGGGTGTTGGTTTTCATCAGAAAGCAAAACCTGATCATCTTTTTGGCAAATACCACTCAACGCTGAATTATACCCCTATTGAGAATACTGTGTAGGATGTAGGTTACTGGCAAAGGATCCAACTCTACAACATCTTCAAACTGAGTTTAAATCAGATCACATTTTTACTTCTGGTCCCTATTTTTTTCTCTGCAGGTTCAACATTCCCCAGTGCTACCTTATGAAAAAGCAGAAAATTACATAGATGGCCCTGAGACTTGTAAAATTGCAAACAGGAAGTACAGCAATGTCTTTAAAGTATCACAGAATTGTTTAGATTGGAAGGAAGCTTTTGAGATAATCTAGACGTGTTTCAGTTTGTGCCCATTTCCTCTTGTCCTATCACTAGGAACCACTGAGAAGAGTCTGGATCTCTTTTTCTTTATTTTCTCTCATCAGGTAGATGAGAGTTAAGACACACTGGTAAGATCCCTCTGAGCCTTCTCTTCTCCAGGCTCTTCTCTGCTCACTCATAAAAGATGCTCTGGACCCATAATTGTTTCAGTGGTCCTTTGTTGGATTCATGCTGGTAAATCCATATCTTTCTTATTCTGGGTAGCCCAACACTGGACCCACTACTCCACATGTGTCTCACCAGCTCTGAGTAGAAGGGATCACCTCCCTCAGCCTGCTCTTCCTAATGCTGTCCCAAATCCTATTGCAATTGTATGATTTGTCTTAAAGGGAATCAAGATTTGATATTTGGAAGTCCTGAGGTGTCTCTTCAGTATCAGTTATCTGCTACCTCTCTACTTCCACTGTAGTTCTATACGCTCTCCAGCAACCTTTGAGATATACTTAAGGGTATTCAACGTGAGAGAACAATAGATTGGGTTTTTGACTGCTCACAGTGAAATCAGTTAAGGACCTCTCATTTCTTCTGAGGTATTTCTGGATCCCTTTCCCCCATGGTGTGGGGCGGCCCAGTTCTAGTTCCATTTCCATCTGAGGAACCATTTCCAACGGCTTGAGGTGGATAGGGAAAGGGAACTCCAGCGCCAGGGGTTTCTTCAGGTCCTGAGCCTGGAGGGGAGAGGTGATCTCCCCTCCTTCCACCCACGTGGTCTCATGGCAGGCACAGAGGCAGCACACTGGTGCAGAGAGGAGGCAAGAGAGCGTTTATTGTTGGGGATATTACATTTATAGGGTTAGGAAGATTCACAGGGTAACCAATTACAGGTCGCAGGAAGGGGTTAACAACCAATAGGAAGGGGTTAAAAGGGGCCAATGAGAACACCTCAGGATATCTCCTCAGGACATTCCTGCATGGGATAACACTTGTCGTGGGGGGTGTTGGGAAGAAGAAGCATGTGTTTGCAAAGAGACCACAAAAAGCCATTTTAAGACATGTTTAAACATGTTTTCCCATATAATGCAGGTTTAGTGCTACAGGTATTCACCTGTCCTAAATCACTTATCTACCATGATTCCCTGGTACCATGATACCGTGATTGTGTGTGGACAGAGAAAACTAGACCATGCTCAGAAGGAGGGACAGAGACTAGAACTTCAGGAGTAGCTGACAAACTTAGCAGCTCAAGATCTTAGGCTTTTGATTCTTTTGGTTGTCTTAAAGTGCAAGTCAAAATTCCTATCAGTTTTCTACATGTTATATAATTTTCTCAGAACTAGAGACATTGCTGGAAGTGAAACTTTTCTTTGTATGGCTATTTCAAAATCAGTGATTCATCAGATTAATATGCTTCTGAGTGAGAAGAACTCCTGAGCTGCAGGGATTTTGTCCTGGATATGAGTCTGAAAAGAACATCATCATCATGCCTAAGTCATCATCAGTAGGCATCTTCAGTCACATTGCTATAGTCAGGGATGGAAGGTCTATGCCCGGTGGCACACACCATGCCAGTCACATAAAGACAACCTATTCATATCCAGGACATTTATGGGCCTCAGAGATCATTATGAAACATCTGTGAAGGAGCTGTCACCATGCTAATATTCCCTCTCCTTATGTGACACATCTGAAAAAGACTTATTGCTAGGCCTCCACCTGCAATAGAACAGCCTTCTGCAGTTCTTGTTGCCCTGTCACCTATTCTGCCACTGACCAAGACCTTGTTGCCCATGTTTGCTCCACTTTGGGAAGATTTTCATATCTTTAGACTATGACAGAGGATTGACAAAACGATGCTGGTTTGAGTCTTGTAAGCTGGCTCAGTGTGCATGTCACAACAAAAGCAAACACCAGGCAGAAGAAGACAATAATCCTCCTTCAAGGCAGCATGAGAAAGCCTCCTAACTACTGACAGAAAGGAGAACCATACTTCCATAAACAATAGTCTCTACAAATGCTGTGCCCCCTGTTTCTCTTTCTCTTCCCCTTCCTTTCCCTTGGCTTCTTCCCAATTACAATGTGCTGGTTCCCAACACAGTGGAAGGCCTCATGCCTTTGACACGGCTTAGTATTGAAAATACTAATCTATATATGTCACATATTTATGTCATATAGATGCCTGCATTGCATCGAAAGTCAATGTGATTTAGTCTCGTAATTCAATTCCTTTTGAAATGTTACCTTTGATAATCCCATGTATTTGATGAAAAATCCAGTTGTAAATATAATTTCGATGTAGTTGATAACCTAGACAACTAAATGTTATGATTTTCAGCAGCTGTATCATCATTTAAAGACATTAGCAGATGTGGTTTTATAGTCATATTCATCTGACTGTCTTCTCCCAGCCTAAACACACATGGAAATGTTGTCTATTTCAGAAAGCACACTATCCAAACAAGAGCATCGAGGAATGCAAATGAATAAGAAGGACTTGAAAGCATTGTCATGGACAGTGTCTCAGTTAAAGTCATTTTGCAAAATGTGAAAATAACTTGCAAATATTATAGATTCATACCCTTCTTAAGAATGATGCCTGAAAATTGGGAGAAGAAGACTCACCAGGCAGTATTAGTATAGATAAGGTAGAGAGCAGGTCTTTAATGAAGGCCTTCTGGCACAAGGAGTACAAAGGCATGTGCCTGTGTCCAAGGGTTCTACAATTTTATAGTGCTGTCCATCCAATATGAGAACTATCCGCCCCTAGATCCGCCCTGGAATTGCCCCCCTGGCACCCCTCCTTGGAATTGAGTCAGAGGTCGCAAGACCCCTTTCTTCCTCATCTTCCTCCTCCTCCTTCCGGCACACATTATCTCTGGAGCTTCTCTAAGGTTCTGGGCATCCAAGGCTATTTTGGCTACAATCTTGTTGGTGATATCTTCTTGTTCCAGCCTAGGGTGCATATGTTCTTAAACAGGATGTGTTTGCAAGAGACCTTCCTTGAAAAAGAACCTAAACAAGCTTAGAGAATTTAGACAATTCAATATGAAATGTGAGAATATGTTTGATAAACGTCAACTGCTTTTCTAAAGTGTAAGAAACTACACAGCTATATTAAAAATCTACAAAAAGCTAAAAATCCTAAGGCATCAAGAATGATCTGTGTTTTTTCCTACTCCTAAGGTAAAAGTATCTGCTCAGTCTACCCTTGGTTTTTTATTTTCATATTTTCATATTTATATTCTTCCAGACATCTGCACATGAATATTATTCTATTTAAAAAAATTGCATAGTTCATACTGTCAGCATCATCATTATGCTTTGATACTAGGATATCCAAGTCCTTTACTGAAGCACCTATGTAAGACTGAGCTGTCAAAAGTACCTTTTCTAGAGCTTCTAAACAGAGCTGTACAAGGAGTAAGTCTGTGCAGATAATGAAAAGATGTTTTCTTCAGAAAGCTTTTTTGCAATACAAAGTCATTTTGTATTTAAATGTCTTAGATAATCTTTGGGGTTTAGGAGATTTTCACTTTAATTGTCCGTCTTTTCCCTTCCTGTAGCACAATTTAATCATGTGCTCCATCCTTTTAAAGTGACTGGGTGGAATTTTAAGTGGCAGCATACTAAAAAAGTAATTCAGCTGTGGAGCTGCTGTAATTCTGATGGTTTGGGTTCAACCCTACATGAGAGCATTAATTAGCTTCAGTTCATGAAGCAGGCTTTCAATGACTGAATTTCTAGATTGATATTGTCTTTTAGAGTAGTTTTCATTCGTCATCTTAACAGTATGCCCCAGTGCTTTGTGGTGTTGGCAGCTAGTGGAGTTGAACTTACACAGTAAGGTATAAATTACATTTTCCCCCCTCAAATTTATTTTATTAACAGGAAATTTGGAAAATGCACAGATCCCTTTTCTCCAATGAGCCTTGGATCTTTGTATACTAGTTAACACCAATCAAAAGAAATAGGATAAAATCAGCATAATAAAATGCCTTCTGTTCTATTCCTCCCATCACAACTGCAAATGTTCATAAATGTTTTCTGATTACTTCTGCAGGATGTGAAGTGTTCTAAATCTTTCCTCCCATAGCATTAATTTAATAGAAAATCCTAGTGAATAGAATGAGAAGAAATGAATTTACTCTTGTAAACAGTATTATTGCAGACACAGCTTTAATGTACCTTTAAGCTGGGAAATAACCAAATACCATTAGTCTGGATGACTATGGAGCCAATAAGTGAGGTGATAAAGAGTCACGATGAAGACTTCATATCTGGTTATGTTAGAATTTATTTTAAGCTGTTAATGGAGGATAGACATAAGAAATAACCAGGTCCCCCTTTGCAATCTTAGAAAATCCTCTAAGCACAAGCAAGTGGCAGAAATCAAAAAGCAAACAAATGAGGTATGGCCTCAAATGGTTATAAAGGGAATGAGTGTATCCCAGGAAACTGAAGCAGAATGTTACTTATTTACCTAGCCTTATTATTTTTATTGTATATTCTTTACATGAAATGTTTAAAGAGGGGCTTTAATACACTTGAAAGTATTCTGATCTGTCCTACATGAAAATGAAATCTTGGCTTTCCTGACAGCACAATGCTGTGCTGTCTGGTATTTAGCTGGATCCTGTTACTATGTGAAGCAACAAGCATTTTCCTGTGTTTTTTGTTCAGAGTAGGATCAGACTTGAGTCCAACATCAAAATCTATGTTCAGATATTGGATAATATTTCTCAGTAAAAAAACCCAAATATTGTTTCTTTTCTGATAAATATTATTTTTGTTTGTTTTAAACCTCCTATTTTATCACAAAAATCACTTGTTTTCTGACAGAGGATCTACTTTTCCTGTGAATACTTTATCTCATAGATAGAATTGTAGGAGTAAGCAAGTATGTATCATACTTGTCCTGGGAATCAAAATACTTGCCTTTCAAACCA